CAAAAACAACAACAGCAACAACAACAACAAAACGCCAACAGTAGCAGCAACAACAACTACAATACCATAAACAAGTTAGCAAAAAAGAAAAAAAACCCACATTTCATCAAATCAATTAATTATAAGCCGTATTATTTAATTGTTAATGTTTTTTGACAATTGAAATGACAATAAATGTTTAGATCGCCCGAACTATTAATTGTGGTTGGTTATGCGTGGGGGCAATTTGTTGTTGTGTATCTCGATGACTTGATGCTGTGAGAATAAAAAATAACTAAAAGGGAATGAGAGGGCAAAACAGATGCAGAGTTAATGGTGCGGACAACGAGAACTAATGTGGCAATTGTTTTATTTTTATTTAATTAAATTTATTTATTTATTTAATATGAACCTTTAACTTCCCAAGAAAGTCTCTTTAAAATTTGAAGTGAATATCTCAACAACTCTTGAAGATATAGCCGATTTATTGTGTCAGCATAAAAAATCTGAAATTTATGCATACATATTTATCGGGTTCATTATTAGTGAAATTCTCATTTAGGATTCTCTGTTGGAAATAGTTACATTGACGTCCTCCAAGTTGATGAAAGAGGTCATATAGTCAGTAATGTGATTTTCATTAAATGGAAATTAAACGACTTCCGATTTTCCATATCCACAACCCTAGTTATTTTGTTCGTCTGAAACCGATCTAAATAGTCCAGTGCACTATGGGCCAGAGATCCCATTTTTGGCCATAATTGGAACAGTGTGTTTATGAAATAAATAAATTTCACATATAAGAATTTCGGGGACGCAGATTACGATTCTGCAAGAAAAACGTATCAAACCAACGTATTAGATCGGAAACGGCGGTCAATTTTTTAAAAATGTATTTAATCAAAATACTTTTGATCACGCTTCGTAGAGCTCCGGTCACTGATTACAAATGTGAAATCATATTTTGAATCAAATAAAATGATTCCAAAATGAGAAAAAAATGAAATATTTTATTTCTTAGCAGTTTTATGTAACAAAATAGCATGAAAAACGTGCTGAAAATAATTTTTTGACACCGAAAAGGTGTCAATATTAATTGTTTTTGGTACACACACAGTGAGAATTCAAAATACTAAATTACAGCAAATTCGAAATTTGGGATTGCTCTTATTTAGGGGCTTCGCTAAAAATTAATAATATTTGGTAGGATGATTTGGTACCTAATAATCGCCTAAAATACCAAATTACAGCCAATTTGGTTGAATCAATTTTATCACCAGCTACGTTAGTAAAAATCAATTTTAATTTTACATTAATTTTTTTATATAATCGGTCTCAAAATTCTGGACGGAGAACATATCAATTGATGCTCTAACCATTGAAATATCCTCTGACACTGCTTGGTACTAGGTTCGGAAACTCAAAAGTTTTGGAAAAAAAAAAATTTTATGAGTTTTATATGCGAAATTTTTGATTGCTATTATCATCAAATTACTTATAATTTTCGTTAACTAACCATCTTGCAGAACTTAGGAATATATATATACATCCATTTCATTTTTGAGGATATACGTACAATAACTTTTTGAATCGATCCATGGCAAATTACAGGTCGCATTTAGTTGGCCCAAAAACGACACTAATAAATATATATTTTATATTTTTTCGAATCAAATAACACAATTTATAAATCACCTTGAGTAAAATATATATGTTTAAAGTAAATTGCATTGCTGGAAATTTGAATACAAAATTGTTAATCACAATTTTAGATAATTGGAAGAAGATTTTTAATTTTTTATAACATCCGCTGATAGTTGTTGATGTGTGTTCATTCGTATTTTACGAAAAAACAAATTGTAACCTTGAAAATATTTTCATATTTAAAAAACTAACTACGATCTGAATAATTATTTACAGCGAGGGCGTTTGAGTATTTTTGAATTTACAACGGTTACCTAGGCACTGCAACAGCAGTTCGTTCTAATCATTGATCAATTAAAATGCAATTTTTTCGATCAGCTAGGAAAATGCATCTATTCAACCGTTCGAAAAAGATCCCACAAGCCGATTGCTTAGTTATGTTCTCGTTTTTTTTTAGATAGAAAAAAATACTGGCCGTATTTTCAATGTAGAAAATACAAATTTTCTAGAATTTTAAACACGTTGTCGTGGGAGTAGTTTCTTAATTTGTTGTTGTTTTGATCATTTTATTTTGTTTAGTTTTGGTGAACAGTTTCAAAGATCTACTTTACTACGGTAGTTGTTCGGCTATTGTTTTGCACTCTTCGCTCATGTAATGCCTGGGTTTGTTTTTCCATACTCCAAATGGCGTTTTTATATAACAAATTAATTTATTAATTATACTGCGATGACTTACATGACTGCCTGCCTGGCTGCTGCTTACAATCACATGTGTTGTATGATGTATCTTGATTAGATGATACAGTAGGGAAACAATATGTACAACACACACACATTTATTATTACATATTTGCATTATGGATGCATTTATTTTGTGATCTGAATAGAATTACATCATATTGAGATATTATTGGAAACAAAAAAATATTTATAACTTTCATATATCAAGAATTGAATGTTATAAATAATAAAAATAAAACATTGTAGTCGACAATTTGATACTATACATTATTTAAGGATATGGTTTAGGAATTCGTGAGACGCTCCAAAATAATTTCTGTATGCAAGCTTTTGGCTTGTATATTAGGAACACAGAAGGAAAAATTCGCAAAAGGTCCAGTTTTTGAGTTATGACGGGATGCATTTTTACTAGTAACTCTAAAATTCACGAAAAAAGAGATTTATATCTTTGTTTTCAACTATTGCACGTAATTTTTTTGTTCACGTCCTTATTGAAATCGATTGAGAAATATGTTTTGTTGAACATTTTATTCATTTGAGTCGACCCCAGCGTGCCCTATTTGTCCTTATTTCTTAGCCTAATTAACACAGGTCGAGATTTTTTGTTATCCAAATACTCTACAAAAATTTCGATCCTAACACTTTCTTTGCCTTCAAATGCTTGCCTTCGGGAGATACAGTACATTCTTTTGGAAAAATTAAAGTCCAATATCAAGGAAACCAAATGCAAAATCGTCAAAAAAAAAATAATAATAATAATTTTAAATTATTCTGATAGCAGAATTCGTATAATTTGAATACGAAGCGATTTAAATAATTTGGACTGTATACATAAATTAGTACTGTACACAAATTTACCCTTTTCTCTATATAGAAAAACTCATAACTTTACCAAAATTTTGAATTTTTTTTTATTTTTCTTTTGATATTAAATAAAATCTCTAAAACATTTTGTTACCTGTGGGCAACATTGGGCCACAAAGGGTTAACGTTCGAAGTAAAATGATAAATCCACGTTTCAACCATTTTTATATAGCTTCCATATATAATATCGTCCGATTTTATGTTAATTGAACACAAAAGCCCGTGCATTTCTATAAATTTCACGAAATTAGGCATAGCGTACTGGATTGAATTTATATTGATGTGTGCTAAGTTTAGTGAAAACCGGGTCAGATTTAGATATACAGTATTGGACAAAACATTTGCAACTGAAATTGGCTATGTGAAAATATGTAGTAATCACTTTATTTGAAGTTGAAAGATAGGTCAACTTGGTATTTTCCAACGTTTTAGGTTCACCCATTTAGGAGGAAGTACACTGAACAATAGCCGTCGTACTGATTTATTACATGTTCCCAACTAGCAAAAGTCCTTCAAAAACCAAAAGTTGCCACATATATATACGCCATATACAGACTTGATTACGAGAAAACCGTTCTACAAAAAAAAATCGCTTATTTCACCTTGCCACCATCAGAAGCGGCAAACATTTGCAAGGACCACTTCGTTACCACATTTTCAAATGGAATCGGTATTATTCAGAAGCGAATCATAATTTCCCAACTTGGTCCCTTGTAATTTGATGACAAGTTCAGTTGATGACAGTTGATATATATCTAGAGGATATATATCTAGAGAATACACATAGTGGTGAAGGGTATCATATCGTTGATCCAGTCCGATTTTACTACCAAGGGAAACCTTGGTATAGTCTAACAAAAGTTCGGTCCGATCAAAATTAACACCTTGTTTGTTTACTTGTTTGTTTTTGCATCACTTTTGCTTTAACTCGGCGTTGGAATGACTCAATCTATTAATGTCATCCATCCCATTATCAATTCAGTGGGAGAAAAACTGGACTCCTCTTCCACCTGTCCATCTACGTAAATCCATAACTAAATATTTGTTGTCAAACGCTACAGTAAAGGAACCAGTTATGGTGATGCAATAATATCACCCCAAATACACCAACACATTTAGTTAAAAAAATCAGCAGCAGCAACAACAACATCAAAAATAACAAATCAAAATATTCTGGATACAAGTAATAATTTCAGGAATATATAGGGGGTGCAAAAGACGCAAGGGAAATACTGGAACTAGATTAGATGGGCATTTGTCTATTATTGTAGTAGTGGTGTTGTTGTTGCTCTATTATTATTGTAGTGGAGCACACCTACAATTCCGATAAGAAAAAAATCGAAATAAAAAACAAATGCCGGTATATAAAATTACCTCTATCGTAGCGGAAAGAGAGAATTTGCAAATATCGTCGTTGTTTATTTTTCTACTTCTCTACCTCTCTTCAATACTCAGGGCTCTCACTAAGCGAACTAAAAGAGAACGAAGAGTACAATTCATTCATTGGCAAAACAGTTGCTGCGATCAAGTTTAGTTGTTGTGCTCAGTGTGTCGAGCTGTGCGGCGAACAAGCGAACCCGCTTAATTTTCAAAACTTTAGTTACTGTTACGATACGAAGCTAGACGGACGTGTTTGTCGTGTTCAAATCAACTCTAACGCAAAATAAAATTAAAATAAAAAATAAAACAACAAAAGCACAACACTGAAAATTAATAACAAGATTAACATCGAAACTACCGAACAACAAAAAAAAAAAAAAAAATAATTTGCTTTAAATTTGAAAACGATTTTCATTTGAACGAGGAATTGTGGATAGCAGCACAACAGCACGAAATTAAACGAAATTGTTTTAAATAAAAAAGGTGATTTGAATTAATTTAATAAATACTTGCTCATTTGAAAGCAACAAAGCACGAAATAATTGAAATTCGCTTACGCACTTATTGTTGTTGTCAGTTCAACTTGTGTCACGTCCAAGTTCATATTTTGAAGGTCCTTTTTACAATAACTCTCTGGTTTGCGATTTGCTGAAATTTACAAAAAAAAAAAAACATGATTTTTTCCAAAATGAAATAACTTGAAGTTCAAAATCGAGAATAACAAAATTATCCACAAGAAAATACTGAAAAATCAATGTATTAAAAACAACAACAACTAAAAATTTCAATAATTGAAAATGAAAAACAATGCCAGGCAACAAAGTTGTGAAATCGATCTTTAACAGCCTCAGGTCGCAACGATCGTTGCTGTTGTTGTTATTGCAGTAACTATATGACACATGCAATTACCCTAGCCAGTTCCTCTCAACTGACGATACAACAATGGTCCAACGTTAATTGACTAAAACCGACTACGATGCCTCTGGGTATTCCCCACTGCCACCCAGCAACACCTATAGATTGTGCTCGGTCGGTAATGAGCATGATGCTCGATGGTGTTTGTACTGGATTGTCGAACATTTTTGGTTTTCGGTTTGACTATGTGACGCCGGTTCTGTTTTGGATTCTCGTCTTGAATTTCAAGTAGTTAAATTACTAAACAATGCATTTTTTATTCGCACTTGTAACTGTCATTGCTCGTTCTTTCGTTCGTTCCTTCTTTCGTTTGCGGCAACATTCAGCTAAACATTTCAGTTCTTGTTTCGGTTTTTTGCACCCTCGTCGCAGACAGGGCGACAGACAGTGGAGGCACATGGATAATTGGGTGGATAGTGTAATTAGTAGTGTGTTGTTGTATGGCAAATCACGTCCCAAGACCCAATATAGAAAAATAGTTTGTTATTTTTCGCAATAACACGATTGTATCCAAAAAAAAGTGATATGGCATTCCTACAAAAACAATCACATTTTAATGATTTTGAAAAAACACACACACACACAAAACACAGTTGTACTAAATTTTGAAAACGTTTGCAGCTCACGCTTGATTAGCTTGGAAATAAAAATTTGCAAATCAAATTTGCCTCGATGAACTGAAAGTATTGCATTTAAATTGAATTCGTGCAAAGAGTTTGGTATAAATTTTAATAATTTTGCAAGAAAAATTCTAAGATTGAATTCATGGACTTCCGATTATATTACTTGGAATGGAAGGACACAATCAAGTATGGACTTAAATAACACTGTGACAAAATGGAATTCTTGGTCTGGGGTTGGGAAATTCCAGCTAGGGATAAAAGCCGTTGGCGAGTATATTAAAAATCAAATGAGGAATATTATTAAAAATATATACTTCTTGCATTTTTGGTTTCTAGACCTATTTCTTTTCTAAAAGATAATTTTTTAAAAGGATTTTATCACAAGCTGCAAAGAAAATACAAAAAAATGACTGGGTAAAAATACACCAAATTATCTGTGAATAAATCCGTGATTTCTTGAATTATAAGTGGGTTTTACTTATAAAACCCACGGAGGAAGGCTGCAAAAGAACATCAGTTCATACTAATCAACAAATTGTCAGAGAAGTAAAAAACACTCATTTAGGACTTTAACGGAATTGGTGAGATGTTATCGTTAAGAATAGAACGGAGATGAGCTGTGGTAACAAGTCTACATGTTCGGAGACCATCAACAAATCCTTTTACTTCATATTAATTGGAATCCGACTCAGGGGAGAATAATAGTTTAATACAAAAAAAAAAAAAAAAAAAAAAAAAAAAAATACAGAGAAAAGTTAAAAAATGAAAGGCTCAAACATCAGTATTGCAAGGGTATTGAGAAGCATAAGGTTGGGCCAATAAAGGTATTGGGCTTCATTTTATGGAGTTCGATTTATTTACGAGATTTAGGAAGTAATGGATCGGATTGTTTATACTAACATGTTGAAAATGCTATGGTTCCCCTGACAATAACCTCAAACTTACGCCGAAACATTGGTTGCGGCAGTCAAAAATTATGGTTTTATAGAAACATTTTTGGAGTATCATAGATACCAAAATCAAAAGAGTTTCACAAACAGACATAACCTCTTCCCAAATGTTTAGGATGCGAGGAATAGATATCCAAGGATCAAATTAAGTGTCATATATATATATATATATATTCAAGGCCCCGTAAATATTCTTTTATATTTTGAAAGGTGAATAAATTACCTATTTATTTCTAAAAAATCTTTCACTATAAGTTTATTTTTTTAAAAAGAATTACACTTCATTTATTCAGTTAGCAATTTCAGTTGTTTTAGTTTTGGCCACCAATGTATATGGAAATATAAAATGAAAATTAAGACTTTGAAACCTTTAAAAATTTATTAAATTTGTTGTATATTAAGATACAAAATGGACCCTGACAGTATAAATTACTCGATATTGAATTTTCCCTTGTCCATATAATTTTTTACTGTGCCTACAATTAGTCCAGTCCAACTTATTTATATCTTTCTGTACACCGATTGTACGAAGTTTAGCGTTAAATTTTTTTTCGATAGTTGTAAGAAGTTATTATTTTAAACTAAAAAATCGAGTTTCTTTTCTATTTTTCGCCAATCATTAAATCTTAATTCATACAAAATGTATATTGTTTGCTAATGGGCAACATTGGAGATAAAAGGTTTGGCTACCTCAAACACAGTAAAGCTCATTAAAAAATGATTAGAAAATTCCCAAATTCCAAAAAAATCTATCGATAATGTGCATCAACACTGCTGGAAGCTCAAATTATCATGCCCCTAAGAGGCCGGTTACATTATTCTCTTCACTTATTACACGCTGCAGCTATTTTATGTGTGATTTGAATTGATGTAATTATAAATTTTATGTTTATTTTCATTGCTATTGCAATTTGATTTTAATGAACTGCCTGGTTTACACATTTATTTGCCTAGTCACACTGTAGCTGCCGGTTTTTCCTCCATTCTTTGTATGTTTTTTTCATTCAAAAGCAACGAACGACTGAAACTGTGATGTGATTTTTGTCTGAGTATTGTTTTTTTTTTTTTTTTGAATGAAAAAAAAAATATTCCGAATTTGCGCTGTTTTTTTGGTTGATTATTGTGCTGGCAAGGCGTGGATTTAACAATTGCCGTACGTTTGCTTCTACTTCGTTCTGAAAACTTGTTTTGAACCTTGACTTTTGCTTTTTTTATTGTTTCGAATTTCGCATTTCTACTTTTTCTCAACAATTATTTTGCTGTCATTTTGTATTCGTTGCTTACTTTGGCTATTGTTTTTTATTATTTCTACAATTTCACTGAACGACTGAAAAAATATTATTTTTTTTTTGGGTCTACCTTTTTTAATTTCATTTTCTATCAAACGAAATGATATGAAATTTATATAAAACAGATTACGGCTAACGAGATATCGTTGTGTCAGCATCTTTGAAGGTGACTGTCTGTCTCTACGTTGCATTTTTTGTTTTCTTGGCATACAAAAATGTTTCGTTTTTTTTTTGTTAGTTTGTTGGCCATGTGCATTTTAAACACGATGCTTTTCCAGTGAATGTCTACTGCATTTCTCTTTGTTAGTTATTTGGTTGGTGGTTTGCTTCTACCAACCAGACAATAACAATGGCCAAGAGTTGGCAATTCTCCGTCTCCCTGTCTTCATTCGAAAGCTGCCACATGACCCCATTCCTTTCCAAAACTATTGTCAATGACATCGCAAATGCCAATTCACGCTTACAATCGCTGTAATCATCTGAGAATTATTCGACATGCCGACGGAATTGAATATTTTCTTTCTTTCTTTTTTTGTTTGTGGCATGAATTCTCTATTTTATTTTCACTTCTTAAGAAGTAGACAGAAGACATGTTTTGAAAAAAAAAACACATTTTTGCTAAAACTTGAAGTTTACACTCACTTCCCTTTAATATAATGTAAGGAATTCTGATATTCGGTACAATTTATGTTGTATTGAAGCCAAATCGGAATCGGGCCACTATCAAAAAAAAAAGGTTATAATGTGGAAAATCAATAAATTTTGAATAATGTACTTAAATTTATTATTTAAAATTAGCTATTTTAATTTAATTTTTTTATTAATTTATAAATTTTCTATTTTGTTTTCTTTTAGGTAAGTTTGTGACACGTAGAGCAACAGTGGTGAAGGTAACTTAGTATTAAGCCTATTTAACTAGTATAAAAATATTGTAATTTTATTATTCAGTTCAAATTAAAGGGCAACATATTTAATTTTTTAAAATGTTAAATTACGACAACAATTTGGTTATGTATTCTTATTCAATCATGGTGCCTAATTACACTATGCGACAACGTGAAGCTCGTGGCCTGATCTGGGGCTGGAAAATTATTTTTGGGAACAAAAACCATCGAATGTTTTTGCCACATATTTGAAATACCAATAACGATCAGCATCAGTATGGTGGGTCGAATAAAAAGTTCTGATAGGCTTTTTTATTTATTTACTCAGCACTTTTTTCATGTTTTAAACAAAAGTTGCTTAAAATGTTGGAATTCAATTTTTTTATTTTTGTTATTTTTTTATGTTTTTGTATCGATTTTGCTTGATTAAGTTATATCGTTGAAATTTCTTTAATTCGCTGATTTGCTAATTAAATCGAAACAATAAATTACAAATACGTTTCGCTAATTATAAAATATTGTCGAATTTAATGAGCGTAAATTTTTATTTATGCTTCTAAACCCCATTAAGATTCATTATTTTAATAATTATTTTGGTTTGTAGATCAATTTGTGTAATTGAAAAAAAAAAAAACGCAAAGCCAAATCAATAATAATAATAATGTTCTCCTCATTCAATGAACAGCTGCCGCCCTATAATAACTTTTTTTAAACACCTGGCTATCTATTGTTGTTGTTATCCTCATTTTTTAACCATTACAATCGGCAGCATATAAATCAACCGGTTACTGATTACTCGAACGTGTTCAGCTTCTAAAATGT